TTCTGGCAAATATTTGCGTGTGATCAGAATATATTACCTGCATATTTAATTTCAGATCCATAATCAAGATCACCTTTATTAGATTGCAGTGAATCTTTATTACACTGCCTTCTCCTGGGATAGGTGCCCAAGGCAGTGAACCCCTGAGGAGAAGCCAGTTCTCTAGTTACTACAGCCCTGTTCAGTTTGTCTCTGTATCCATAAAAGCAAAATATCCATCTTTGTTTTATCTACTAGGGCCCGCTGAATAAGAAAGCATGTCAAACATGTACTGAGAGTGTTGCTGCTTCTGTTGTTCCAGATTTATGATTTCAGAGTAAGACACTGATGCAAACCTGGAAGAATTACACCTGTGCTTTTGCAGAGAGGAGTCCCTGAGTAGCTTCAGCCTTGCAGAGGTCAGGAGCAAAGGAAGCAAGGAGAGGTGTTTTGAAGTTAGGGCTCAGGTAGTGCCAGGTATTGCAATTAACTACTTCAAGATTTAGTTCTGTACTTTGCAACTGGACTAGAGTGGGATGTTTGGCAAGTCTGAACATGGCTGAACGTTGTTCTTCATATGGCTATTGGAAGGATATTCTAAAAATGGCAGCAAAAAAATCACGCATATGTGGGGCAACAAGGCTGAAATTGGTTTACAGTGTACAAATAGATTCTTCATCCTCAGTGTTTTGAAATCAAGAACTTTTCCTGTGATATAGCTGTGTATATCAAAGCTCTAATAGGAAAATAATTAAGAGTTTGAATGAAAGGCGTAAAAGTCCAGTTCAAAGCACCTTCTGCAAAGAGATGATGTAAACCAGAGGGTGGAAGAATACAGTGTTTGTATATGTGACAAATATTCCCCCTTGGTTCAAGAATAGGTACTTTGTTTTTCATTAGATGCGATATTGGAGATGTGTCATCTTTAATCCATTTCTTTCAAGTTCGGTTGTCAGAAGGAGTGAAATTTCTTTCAAAAAAGACATAGCTGCTAATCCCTAAAAGCACACTGCAACCACATTCTTCCAAATTTCTAATCAATGTTTCCTTCTGCAAGGATGCCCTTGAACCTTGGAAATGGCTTCATATTATTAATAGAAAAGGTAAAAAGTACTTTTTATTTCTGTTCTTGTCTTGAGGAGAGGGACATCTTTTTAAATATTTGTTTGCTCTGTGACAGTGTCACAGTTTCACCAGCCAGCTGAAAACTCATAAGCTTTTCAGTATGAATAAGAGGGAAAAAATGATTGATGTGGTCTGTTTTCTCTGGAGCCTGTCCTGTAGTGCTTTAAAAGAGCCCCCAAATGGTGGAACTTGTAATTTTGAAGCAAAAGCGTTTTCCCATTGAGTATGGCCAGGTACTTGAAACAAGGAAAGGGATACTGAGAGACATATTTCTTTTTCATGGGAAGAATACTGTGTGTTAGGAAGAAACTGACTAACAATCAGATTTCTTTGACAAATGATGTGGTTCACGTTTTTATACATAGAATTCATTAGTATTATTAAATACTCTTACATATTTCTTTTAATTATAAATGATTTCCTCATACTTGGTTCCTCAGTCTTCAAAAGCTTTAGAAGTTAGATAGAAGCAGGTACATGTTAGAAGCCTGGGTAATGTGGAGGTGTTAATACGTGGTAGATGTTTTTTAATCTAAGCACACATATTTCAGGAACCATTAACTTTTCTTTTTATAAAGAGGTCTTAGATTGATTATTACATTCCAAGGAAATTCAATGTGGATTTTTTCAGCTGCACAGTGAACAACACTCCTCACCTGGACAACTGCTTGTCCTGTCAGACAGACGGAAAAATTAATGTTTTCTCAGATGTCCTCACAGGGCAGAGCTGGGTGAAAGCCAATCTCTGGTTTGCTAGACAAATGAATAACCAAACACAGGGACCATGGCCAGGACCAGTTGTGGAACAGCTCGGCTCTTGGTTCTGGTATCCACAGAAAGAGTTTGAGTTGCGGATGGCTAAAGATGTGCAGACACCATTAAAATCAATATTCTTCTGTGATGCTAAACTTGTGTGATGTGAAAAGCCCCTTTAATTGTATCTATACAGCAGCCTCTGTGCACTCACCTATGATAAACCAGGCCTTTCATGAAAAAATATTGTTCATATAGATACTAATCTGTGTTCAATGACAGCACAACACTTCATCTGCATTTATTTATCGAACACTGGGATAGGCATACAGTGTGTTTCTCTAAAAGCTTCCATGAATGTTAACGACAGGGAATATCACTTGTAGACAAAACTTGTGCCTAGGAAAATATGGAAAAGGAAAGCCAATAAAGCACCACGTGAAAAATATTAGCTTGCTGAAAAACTCTTTATGGTTTGAAATAATTTTTAGTTCAGCAGAACTTGTTAAAACTATAAATAGATAAATAGTCTCTTGCTTTCCTATAGCTTTTTTCCTCCCATAGTGAGCTTTAGAAGTCTTCACATTCGGTGATTTTTATTTTATTATATTTAGCTATCACTGCAAGCTCTCTTTCAGAGAACTACTTTGATAGTAGGCTGTTTTATCTCAGTTCCTAGTGTGATAAAAGCCAATTTAGAGTCACTTACTTTATACAAAACAATGGAAAATACAAGATATTTTGATGATAATAGCATCTTTAAAAAAAGGATGACCATCTGCCGTTATTCACTTCTGCTTTCAGTGTCCTTTTGAGCTCCCCTTTCCCTATGGAAAGACAAAATCACTGAGATCATTTCCAGTCCTGTCAGCTGCGAGGATGTGGTAACCATCTTATAAGACAAACATATGGCTGGGTCTTAAGGGCTTTTTCAAACTGGGAATCCAAATGTAGGCTGCCAAGTTGTGTACAGAAGCATCTGCCACGTCAGTTCCCCATCACAATATCTCCCTGCACTACCAGGAAGCCAGAGCTGGTGCCTGCTCCTTTCCAGGCTGGCATTTCATGGCAAGAGCTAGTCACAAAAATTCAGGTGTGCATATCTGAAGGCTTAAATTTAGGCTCAGATTCAGGATCCTGAATTTGAAAGTCTTGGGAATAATTTGGGAAAGATGAGACTCGCCCATCTGGATGGTCACAGCAGAAACCCAGCCGTAAGCTGCAGAGTGATCTGACATGGAGGGACCCGGATGCTGGGCAGTCTCTCCAGGTGGATCAGGAAGTGATTATTTTGGGATATGTTTTGAGCCCACTGGCTGAGCAATGCCATTCACACAGTCTTTATTGGGCAGGCCAAGAAAGATCTATTCCTACTACATCTGATTTATTTTTACACAGTTCATGACAGAACTGTTGCCTAGTAGCCCCGAAGTGTCTGTATCTTGCTTTCTTTGTGATTTCTTGGCTTAGATGGCTTAGCTCCTGAGGACTGTTAAGCAGGAATTGCTCCAATACATGGGACAGCACCAGCTCCTCACAGCTAACCAGAATGTGTCTCCGACCACTTGATTGTTCTGCTGTACAGTGTTGCTGCCTCCTGCCTTTCATGGGAAATGTTGTAATTTGCCTCACAAGCAGTTAGGAAAGCTTTGGTGCTAACAGAAGCCACAGGGCAGCTCACACTGCCCTGGGAGCAACAGCATGGGCAGAGCACTGTAGGGAGCGGATTTACCGCCCTGTGGTCAGTCAGCTTTCCAAATACAAAAACTGAGGAGAACAGCATCAGAAGGGGATCTAGCTCAAAGGCACAAATCAGGTTTTGTTGTAAGTAGTGGATTTCATGGCCCTCATGGAGAAGCAGTATTGCAAAATGTAGTTCACATTGTCCTGATTATTTTCCCTTCTCCATGAACACCAATGCCTTCAGTTCACCAGTGGTGCCATCCTTCGCAATGCCTTGGAAGCAGCTTCACATGAAAAGTACTGAGTTGCATCTGATGGCTCGTATTGGAGGTTGACTCCTTCCCTTTGACCTTGAAACTTGGCAGCATTCTGGCAGTGGGGTGGCCTTGCCCATGCCTTCCTACTAATGAGGGCTCTGAAAAAAGTAGGTCTGTGCTTAAGAGGAAATACAGCCAAAGGAATTTGCAGTTGACCATTTACTTCCTCATCAACACCTAATGCAAAAAATACCAGTACAGAGAGAGCTTGATAAGGTATTTTTCCCAGGTAATCAGCACAATTATGACAAACTTTCTCATGAAAATGTTTGTGTGAGGACAATTGTTTTTGTTCAAAAATGCGCATGGGGCTTGTGGGCTTAGATTACTGATTACGTGATCATCGAAGGTTTTATATAATAATACTTATTTTTTGCCTTTTTTTTTTCTCCTTTGCCTTGGCTTCTTGTGGTTTGGGTTTTTTCTAAAAGCAAAAGGCATCCAATGTGTTTAGCAAAACAAAGACTGACCATTTATATATATACTTTTAGTTTTAAAAACTTTCCATTCCAGGAAGCTAACTTACCTGTTCTAATCACACAGAACTTGCCTTGAAAATCAGAGAAGACAGTGTAATAGAGAAAGATCTGTGAAGGTGCAGGAATTTAGATTTATTGCCATTTGTGAAGCCACTTAACACTGTTGAGAGCAGTTTTAGCTCATCAACACCACACTGATGAATCTCAAAATATCTTATCATGTGTATCTGAGACAGCCTTTTGCAATGGATCTTCCCTTGTTCTTACCTAGTGTTTGCTTTCATCCTTTACTCTACTTTACTTACCCTACTTTAAAACTTCAGTCATTTACTTCAAGAGCTAAAACCCTTCTCCTCCCCATGCCATGTACTGAACAAACAATTAAGAAACAGCGTAAACAATTGCTGAAGTGCTTCCTTTGCCTAAGCTATCTGTAGGAACCATATTCCTAGCCATCAGAATCACAGTGGAAACATGCCTTGAGCAGTCCTAAAGCTGCAGCCATTGCAATCAAGAAATTAACAGATAAGTAACTAATTTTGGTAAGTTGCCCTCTCACATGGACTAATTTAATCTTGAAGATTGATAAAATGAGACATTTCATAAACATGAAATTAAAAGAATCCCCTGTAGCTGCATTAATAAAAACAGACAACACTCTTGACTCATGCATTTAACTGTCTGGAAAAAAAAAAAAAAAGTTTAAAAATATTGCTAGGTATGCAATCATGGAGTACAGAAAATAATTTTTCAAAAATAGATCTTTATTAGCAGTCTGGGTTAGAGAAGTGGATATTCACTTTGATTAGGGTTTTTCTGTTGAGAGGAATAAAAATTTTAGGTGTTCACAGATTACAAGTTTAAAAATATGGAAAGTGATCTATTTACATTACAAAGATGAAATTGAGTTACAGTGGCTAATAGGATAAGTGTTGCAAGTTAGACATTAGAAGAGGGATATGAACCCAATTTACTGGGCAAATTAACTTTGTTAGAACACTTAAGCTGGTGCAAAGATAATGGTGCCTTTAGGAGACAAACTGCCTTCCTTGCCTGTGTATTCTATGGTGTTTCTCTAATTATAAAGTTCTTCAGGCAAGCTTTTTTACCAGCCTAAGAGAGCCAAAAGACATTGAAAAATGTGCAGCAGAAATAGAATGAAAACAGGACTTAATAAAAACAGGACTTAATGCCCTAACTCTCCGTATCTTAATACCTGCTGAAGCAGCTCTGGTTTTTCTGCTCTGTGCTTCTGCATGACATGGATGCCACTGATTTGCAAATGGAGCTACATAGTGTTTTCAGGACTTGAATACAAGCCTAGAGAATCCCTTAGAAAAATGTCCTGGAAAGCAAAGTAGCAGATAGAGCCTGACCAAACTGAAGGAGAGCTGAAGCCTTTCAGCAGTGTCCATCTGAGGCAGTTCAAATATGGACAGAAATGCATTTGGCAGGATCTCTTTCCTTTTTGGATAACAAGCTGTACTCTGGTTCACCTTGTGCCCACGGATTTCACAGTGCCTAATACAAGTAAGGTGAATGGTGTCTGGATGCAGTCAGCCACTGAACAAGGAGATCTTAACATGCTTTTTAGATCAAAAAGTCTTCTGCTATTTCCAGACTGTTCAATAGGAAACGGAGACAGACTTAAGTGATGTACCCAAGGTCATGTCTCAAATTAGTAGCGAAATGGGAAGCACCTCACAAATAGTCCCCTTCTGAAATTGTGGAGATGATCTGCCTATCTGAAAATAAAAGAAAGCTAGACCTCTTTGCAGTGATCAATTTAAGCCAATTTGGATTGAACAATTTGATATGAAATTTGATTTTTAAAAAAAAGAAAAAAGAAAGAAAAACCTTGTGAAGCTAGACTAAATGGTGTTCACAGCAAAGTGGTCATCCTTTGATGTGACGGTTTAGAGGAGCTGAGGCAGAATGTGCTGGTTTTGTGCAGTTTAATAGAAATAAGGCTGTGAAACATCTTCTGATGCAAAAATTCAAGACTCTTGTCAACATTTAACTCTGAACCTTAAAATTACCAGACCCGAATGCATGCAGATGAGTCGTGTTCATTAATTGCAACAGCATCTGTGCCCACTTACACCAGCTAAATATCTAACATTCAATGTAAGCAGTTTTCTTGTCCCTTTCCAATTAGCTCCATTACAGAAAATCTAATTAAATCATATCTTTTAGCAGGAACCAAGAATTCAAGAGCTGTATTTTTGCACTTAATTAAAAGCTTTTCTTCTTGAACTGTTAATTTTCTGAAAAAGATATCCAGTAGTTCTTCCTCTGATCCATTTGGTTACTCAACGAAATGGCTCTGAGTTGGCTCTTGAACTGTACACTTCGGCTCCAACTCTTATGAAGATCTCAGAAGATGATGGGAATCATAGCTGATTTTCTCCGCACTTCTGGATAAAATCTCTTCAGATACAGCTTGTGTTTCTTTTGGGCCCAGAGAGACATCTGGATGACCATCAGGAAAGCAAAAATGCCAACTACCAATGAAAAAGATTTAAAGAAAAAGATCATGTGTCTTCTTTCCATGCCTGTTTCTGTTAATACAGTAGGGTTTATGTAAATGTTTGCAGTCTCTCCTGTGGGCAGAGACAACTCTGTCCTGGCTCTCAGCCTTGCAGTTGCTCATATACCATAGCCTGAGGCTCATCCTCATCATCAGAGTTGACACAGATGATATTCACATCTGTTAGACACACATGTATCACTTACAACTTCACCATAACTCACAAGGACTCCTTGGCCATGATGGCATCTCAACACAGAATTACCCATGGCCTCTCACAACTATTTTTCTGGTTTGCTTTTGGACCATAATGCTGTTTTTACCTCTTGCTCCCAACCATAACAGGGAGCTGTTCTGTAACATCCCGCTCTGTGGAAGGAGAGCTTGGCCCTGGAGCAAGTAGGCAGTAGCTGCCTGATTTAGCTGCCTGGCAATAAAGTCTCAATAAGCCCAACATCTACAGACTTCCCAGGACCACGCTGTAGTTGTCAGAAGCCAGTAAGTGGATCTTGGGTACCTCTCCCTTCAGGCTGAGTGGCACCAAGTGGGGGATGATTTTACTAGCTCATTTTGCAAATTCATTATCCTTTCTTCTTTAAATAAGGTAGTGAAACAGAAACATTTATTTGGCATCTGCTTGAGTTATGTCTGGGACAATGACAGCAAGAAGGAGAGTGCTTCATATGTTACTGCTCCTGCCACTGTAGGGACAGCCCTATAAGGTCCCCAGACTTTCAGATAATTTCCATATGAGAGCCTAAAGCACAAAAATGTTTCATCTTTTCAAACAAAATTTAAAGTTTAATCTTTGCATGATGCAATTTAACCCACTTTTGAAATTCATTGCTTTTTCTTTTGTAAACCAAGTGGGGCTACTTTTTGCAAGTAGTTTTTATATGTTTCTATTTTGAAAAGATAAAATGATTAAAAAGTGACTGTTTTAGAAAGCTTAGTTCCAGGAACCATATCTTTATGAGTATTTAGGTCTCTAAGGATACAGGAAAGTACTGAACAAGAGTCACAAACACTGCAGAGCTGGCTACAGTTATGGGCTGGCTGCCTGATACAAGTAAACAGGGAAATGGTACCAAGAATATGCGTGTCCTTCCTCTTTTTTAAATACTACATAAGTGGGTTTTCCTTTTCCCGTTAGAAGTATTATTCCAGGTTTACAATGCAAAGAAGTTTTCTTATATCAAAAATGATTGACTGTAAATGAAGAATACTGACTTTTTTCTTTTTTTTTTTTTTTCTAAATTTCAAAGTCTGCTTTCACTATGGAAATGGAAGGAACAGTAATATGTCACAAAAAGCAGAGAGCTGGTTTGGATCAAATAAGGTGTTGCAGTAGTGTTCACGCTCTCCACAGCTTTCTGAGGGTAACACTTTGAAGGTTTACACAGATATCTCTCAAGGGGAATTTGATGGCAATATTTCATATGCTATGAATTTTTTTGGCAAATTTTAGATTTCCAGAATTCACTTCCACAAGCAACACTTTAGATGCTGTCTTCATTCTGTTTCAAACTTACCTGGCAGAGTTTGTGTCATCACTGTGAAACTAATCCAAGACCCAGCCTGTTGCAAAGAAAAAGGCACTATAAGTTGTATATTTTACGTAAAGGAAAATGGCAAGTTTTCAAAAGCTATCCCCTGAAAAAGAGTATGGTACTTGTACTGGAAATGGGAAAGGGAAAATAGCTAGAAATTAACTCCCCAGTGTACTGGGTGGGGTGAAGAGATGGATAGTAAATCCTCGGATCACTGGGGAGTCTGTAGTGGAGGGAAATAAAAACAAGAGCCATAATAGTGAGGTGAGGGAAGAGAAGGGTCTGGTGGAGAAATATTTGTGGGAGCAAGGAGACTGACATACAGAACACCATGATTGATGTGTAGAGGGAACTGCATGGAGGTGTTGCTGATTTCTGGAGACAAAGGCTGAAGCACAGTAACCACCTTACCCTTTGCATATAAGCAGAAGAAAGTCATGTACCTCATATGTATAGTTGGGACAGGATACCAGCAGGAAGAGCCATGTGAAGGGGTTGTAAGTTGGACTTGGAAAACAGGTTTTATTTCCTTATGAAAAGAAAAAAAAAAATGGAGAGGGGAGAAAATCAGACAGAACCAGTTTCAATGCAGAGAGGGATGAACTGAGCCATATCACAGCTTGCGTAAGTTACAGGCATCTCCTTGGCCATTGCTCTCAGAGTACAACTTTTTAAAAAAGTTTTAGTGAAATCTTTGGAGATAGCAAGAGTTGTATGTATCCCAGTGAGAACGCTGCTTAGCGAACCTTGCATCAGTTTTTACAAGAAGGTCTGGCATGTCCAGAGGATGCAACTTCTGTTCAGAGGAAGAGAGAGACAAGTAGTTCAATGCGTACTAGCCAGCAGGTGAGGACTAAGGGCACTCTACTGGGATATAAAGGATGTAGCTGTATCTTATTCAGCCTGGCTCAGGAACGTGAACCTGTCTGCTCCCACATCCTCACCCTACATCTCCGGTTAGAATAGGAAAACAACTCCAGAGCTAACAGGATGACTCTCTACGGTCACTGATAATGCTCACACAAAAAGGTCATAGTGTATACTCTATGTTTTAGATATTAAATATCTAATAGAAATTCAGTGGTTTTGTAAACGTGGGGTTGGTTGGTTTTTTTGCTTGATTTGTATTATTGTGGGGTTTCATGTTTGGTTCGGTTTTTTCCCTTTCCTTGCTGCCTTGGACTGGTGAGCAGGTAAAAATAATTCCTTTATTCTGAAGTTGGAATTGCAAGATTTTCTGTTAGGAAATCTCTCAGTGATTTCTCATCAAGGACTTGCATTACCCTATACAAAAAGTAAGAAAAGAATTGCAGAAATTATCTATTATCAATATTTTTAAGTGCTGGCAACAATGCTACTTTAATACTTGTAGGCGCTGAGAACATAATTATTTAGCTCTTGCTGCTTTTAAGCTGAATTAGGCCCCTTGCACCAAACAATATAAGCACTTGCCTAACCACAGTGCATGAAAAGCCTTCCAGAATAGAAACTGACTTCTGTGTGTGAAGCTGATCGTACTGTGGTAGTTTCTTAAATAGGGTGTTATAGTGGAAAATTATACTATTAATGTCTGAAACTATATTTTACTTTCCAGTATACATAGTATAACTTTTGTTCTCATGATACAAAAGGTCCTGAAACCCCTTTTTAGGACGAGCCTTTTAAGACCATAAGTATACATTGATGCCTGCACAGGTATTCATGAGTCTCTCTTTGTGTATTTATATATATATATGTGTGTATCTTTGCCTGCCATGCATGTATCTAAAAACTCTGCAATATAGTTTAAAAGTTTTTGGTACTTATTTAAAATGGAATCTGCTGTCAGTCACCAGCATGCTTTAAAGAACTGTGCTTAAATCCGTATTTAAATTGGAGTTGTGTTTGATTAAGATAGATTTACTATAAGCTTTGGAACAACAACAGTGTTGCTAATGTTTTCTTGTCACCACATCTATTTTGAAGATGTTAGACTGATAGCATGGTACCTACTTCATCTTTCTTTAATCTGTGGATGTAGGTACTTAAATTACTGTACACCAGCAGAAGATGAATAGGTTAAACACACTTCAGTCTTAAATAGACAAAGAGGAAACAAAGACAGACCTGAGTTAGTTTGGTGAGCTAAAGCTACGTTGATAAAGTGATTTCCAGCTTCACACATCTGCAAGACATTAAAAACATGTTTTCAGTCATATGCCTGGAATGCTGCGGTAACTGTGTTGCAGCGCATAACCAGAATCCCCCCATTACAACTCAGTCTCTGTACCCAGAAAATATGTACTCTGAAATGCAGCTCGTGATCTTTGTGAAGCACACGAGTGTCTAATGAGCACCGTGGGTGCAGCCTGGGGTGAAAGGCCCTGATTCAGGCACTGCAGAGCTCGGTCCAGGCAGGCCTTCAGCATGTGCCCCATGCTTTGCTCTGGGGAGATCAGGGAGGCTCCCTGGGTCTAAGGAATTCAGCAAGATGCTCTTCTTTATTTATTTTGGATGTAATCCAGGCTGCAAAGAAGCAGGTGGAAAGCTGACCACTGGTTTTGTAAAGATGTTGTGAGTAAGATGCCTATCTTTTTTCTACACGCACTTTCAAAGGTGTTCAGTGTAACACAAAGGAAAAATAGAGTGAATAAAAAAGGTAGTGGTTCTCTGAAGGGCAGACTGGTTGAATGGATAGTAGTCAGGAACTGATAAATGAAGGGAGCCAGTATTACTCCTGGTTCTGCAAGTCTCTGGTTTTTATATTTTCAGCCCTAACCGACCTCTCAAGCTTGGTCATTAATATTTAGATGTTTTAAATCTTTGGAAGAGGCATCTTGTCTCCCCATTTGGTTTTACAGCATGTAACAGTAGATGATTTCAGATTTTCTTGAGGCTTTCAGTACTTCCTCAATTACAACTACTGAAGAATCAAACCCAATAGTTACCCATATTTAAAGTGGGAACTGGTAGGAAAACCAGTTTCAATTCCTGGAAAAGAAGGCCTGTCAGCACAACTATGAATTTTATGTGTTTAATTTTTCCCTTGCTCTATGAAGAAAATCAAAATGCTGTATATATTTCAGAATAAATTGAACTTTCTTATTCATTTCCATGTTTAAAGACTGATTTGTCCACTACAGTTGAAAAAATGCAGTGTTAAAAAGTTTCATTTTCTTACATAATTTGTCATTCTAAATTTTGCAAGGCTGGAAAAACTTTAAGAAATTAAAATAAAAAGGAAAATACCAAAACCTAGAGACATTAAAAGCATAAAGTCCAAAGATTAATTAAAAAAATAAACCTTTAAACTTTAAATTGCAAAACTAAATAAAACAAAATTGAAAACTAAATTAAAACTAATTGAAAGAATATGTAACTTCATTTTATATTGAAATGTGCCATTATCTGAAAGAACATTGTAGATAGCATTGCTGAAAAATGTTTCCCTTTCAGACAGAGGTTTTTGTGGGGTTTATTTGTAGAGTTTAATTCAGATCTATTATCAAAAGCTGTTGTTCTGCATGGATAGGTAGTTACGGTTCAAATCTTGCTGTTCTTTTTATGTGTTTTTAATTACAGCTACCTGATGGTCATCTATTATAAATACCAGATGCAAAACAATAAATAGCCAGAAAAGGAAATTCTATTATAAAATACCATGTCCAAAGCTATAACTCTAGCCATAGCAATAGAAGTAATTTTAATTTACATACTAGCAGCTAGGAACATGATTTTTTTTCCTGATTACTATTATTTCAAAGAAAACAGTTTCATAGTTAAAGGTCGTTTTGTGCAACAATATACATACTGAAATGTGTGATGCCCACACCATTGTGGAGCAGGAGATATTCACACCCTGTAGTTAACCCCTACTAATTCTATAATCCATTTTAAGTAAAACAAGCAAAGGGCATTTCTGCAGGGCTTTTTATCGGCTTACCTTTGACTCTGCAGCTGCATTCTGCTCTAATTAACTCTTATGTCCCTCTCTAGAAATGTGACTGTTAATTTTCTACATTGAGAAGTGCTGCTAAATGTAAGCTAGTCCTTAGTGTCTCAGATATAAAATATGGGGGAGCGAGGAACATCAACGAAAAAGCTTAACATATTTACAATTATAAAATACTGAAGTCTACATACTGTTTTCCCTCTTTATATTCCATGTGTACTCCAGAGAAAAACATCTCTGCAAAGCTTAGATTAATTTCTCTAAATATGAGAATATTTCAGAAGGGCCTGCAAACTCTCTTCATATTACTCAGTACCATTGTTTATGGCAGCTGCAGATGTATACACTTAAATCAGGATATGTAGTAAACACAAGTTTTAAAAGATGGTAAGAAAAAGAAATCTTCCAAATATTTTATTCATATGTTTTAGAAACCTGTGAAAACGGCTTCAAATTATTTTATTTTGTTTGTTGGTGTTTTAAAATCGTTGTCTGGGAATCTGCCAGCACAAGAGCTGAAAGGGAAAGGGTTTGAGTTTCCATGGGTAGGGAGTTCTCAAAAGAGCTGTAAGAACCGAGACCACAGACCAGGTGCTGATGCAGATCTGAAGGGGATTGCTGTATTTTATATCAAACAACACCAAATGGAGTCATCCCTTTGCTTAATGGCAGCAATTTCCCTAAAAGCTATAGCGGGGCATGTTACATTGAGGCGACGAAGGATGGTTCAATAGAAAAGGAGGCTTTTTCTACGTAGAGACTATGACAAGGACTAGTTTTTCTGGTAGCACTGGGTATTCAGAAGTTTTCTTGTTTTCAAATAACCTCTGAGCTTGGGAAGGGCATAGACAGCAAGGTTCTGGGCACACTACTGCCCACCACTGCCACAACTTCCCGTGTCTGCAATACTGGGTTATTGTTTTCGGCTGTAGAGCCTCATGGGGTGTGTGAAGTTCTTCATATGAGTATTTGCTATACCTTATTGGGCTTGAAAAGCTGAGAACTGCATGGCCAGCCCCAGAAACAGACACTGCCAAAATTGTGATCTTTAAGGGTCCTGATTTACAAAAGCATTTCTGTATTGCTAAAGGAGCTGTTGAATGTTCTTCTGAATAGTGTTTGCCTGAAAGAGCCTAGACATGTTACTGTCCCATCTTCCTGTTGTATTTCTGGAAACTGATCTGTATCTGATTTTTAAAGAGGCTGACTGTTTTGGATACTGACCCGTGCTTGCTTGGGTAAGTCACCACCCAGCAGTTCCAAGCAAAATGCCACAGAGGACAGGGAGAATTTTCATTTCCATGTGAGAACTGATGAGCTTTTGTCTCACTGTGTGATTACGTTCATTCAAACATCAGTCCCAGCCATCCTTCGTCAGCTGCACTTTCCCTTGGCTTAAGCCACTTTGGCAGGGATTGTTTGCATTGTTTTTAATAGCTGTTGAGGTACATTTATTCAAGCTACAATGAGCTATTGCAAAGTCTGTTTAGGATGTAATTCTTCAGTGTTTCAAAAATCAAAAGTTTCAATTTGCCTAAAGATTTGTTTTAACACAATGATCAGTAGTAACAACGCTGATGATGTTCTCATGGCTCTCAGATACAGTACTTCAAGTTAAGCTCTGTATACATAAGTAGTAGCAGAAAACTTCCTGACTGAGATACTTTAGTAGATTAGCACTAAATCCAGTCAAAGGAACAGGACTGTGGGCGTGGTCATATATTTATATATATATGTGTGTGTGTGTGTATATATATATGTATATACACAAATGCATAGCAGCATTACTGCATATTACTAAATCGTGATTTACTCCTTTTCCACAATCATTAATTAAACTTCATTTTTGTACGTACCAGAAAAGCAAGGGCAGCATAAGAAACTTGTCTGTGGCCAAATGCTAGAAAACAGAATGAAATGATAAATTGCATTTTACAGTATGCACATGGTTTGCCATGGGTGAAATTAATCTACTGCTGAGGAGCAGAAATACTTCTTTCCTGACAGGCTGTGCAGAAAGATTGGATATTATCACATACAATATGAAGACAATACAAATAGTAACAGCACTCTGAAATGCCAGTCTCTTCACCAGTGACCTCAAGTCAGGTTTCACCCATCTTTTTTTACTTATTTGCCATCTTCATATATCCAATTGTTTTGTCAAAGCAGCTGGTGGTGGTAAATGGAAAAGGCAAGGAGAGTAAAGAGAAGTAAATGTCAGTGGCAGAACCAGGCCAACTGGTTTCCATAGGCCTTTCTATCCTAATGAGCAGAGAACCCAATACATAACCCATCTGTAAGGTAAAACATACACAGATATTCTTCCCAAGAGTGCCAAGGCAGTGGTATGATTTAAAAAAAAAAAAAAGATTTATTTCAGATGCAAGGACCACTTTTTAATGATGCTGCACATACATGGCCCCCAGGGAAAAAAGGCAATACTCTCCCTTCTCCAATGCTTTTTGTATCTTTTCTCTCTCCTTCCCCACCCTCTCTGGCCCACAGAAGCCTTGTATATATTTGGAAAAATGTTATCACTCTGCATACGAGGGCGATAGCTTGCTCATAGCTTCTCCCTGCAACTTTCTCTGAAATACAGAAGGAAGGAATAAAAAAAAATCTAATCTGTTTGAGAAGGCATTTTACAGTCTTCCTAAGTGAAATTGAGTTCATGTTCATCTCCAAAGTTTTGCAGTTCTCAAGTAAACCTTGCTCACAGCTGATGGACACAAACCATATGTATATACCTCATCTCCCTGACCAAGTCCCATCAAGCCTTCACGTTTTAGAACCCTTTTTTCTGGCTGGCACTTGACTCCTCAGTGATGCCAAGGGCACATGCTAAAAGGCCTCCTCAGAACCACCAGCACATGTCAAACTCGTGAGCATGCAGCTGCTAAGCAGATGTTCTTCATAGGCCCTTTGTTAATCTGGCTGAATTTACCACTCCTGTGGTAAATTCTGCAACTATCTTGCCTTTCCTTGCCAGTCCCCAAACTAGTCATTGCTATGGAGCTTACCTGCTCCTGCATCCAAAATAGATTATCAATGTTTACTGATTCCACTAACTATGCCAGAGGGCTGGTAATCTCCATCATTAGATCCAAATGCCTATAATTGTCATTTTTAGGCAGTGGCAAGCAATTGAAAATATTTCTTCTAAAAGCATTTTCTTCTGTGTCTTGAACAAAGCGTTTCCTCAGTAAAGAAGCTGCACCTACCGATTTGATAGCCCAGACCGCTAAAAATTGTGTCTAAGGAAATTCCTATATTGTTTGCAGCATTGTTGTTATGGCCACAGCAAATTCAACTGTCTTTCCATGAATCACATAATTTTGAAACAGAACTGCTGTGCTGTTTTGAAAGAAAAGCAAGTGTCATCTATGAGAAATTTTTTATTGAAAAAACCAATTTACCTGAGTGTAAATAAAAATGGCAAACCAACTGCTTTGTTCCCAAAGCTCATAGACAAATCTAATATACAGAAGAAAAGAGAGTAAGGTGTAGCAAGGAAAGTAAAGCAGCAGAAAATAAAACTTAAGCCAATTATGCTCAAAAGAAGCAAAGGCTCAAAGAGTAAACAAAAAAAAAAAAGTCATGAAGATACTGCAGCGCAACAATCAAATATGATTAGAGGGGAAAAAATGATGAATGAAACATGAAAGTTTAAAAAAATAGGAACTTTTTGTTATCAGCAGTATGGGATGGATTTTTACTTTCTCACAAAAAAAAAAAAAAGAAAAAAAGAAAAAAAAGAAAACGAAAATCCTAATTTTCATGAAAAGGATATATCTTTAGCAAATCAATATCTCTTCTAAGAACTGCAGCCAGTTCTAGTTTTCTACTGTATTCTTAATACAAATGTTGTGAAGATGAGCAAAATTTTTGTGTTTTCTCCACTTGGCCAACGTTTCCAGTTGATAAAACTGGACGGTGATTGCCCATTGCTGAACAGGCACGTACATTTGGTGGCACAAGCAGAGGTGCCTCCAACATAAGAATCTTCCTTCTGACAGAGTGTAAAGGCTAATTTCTGCTTAGTTAGTCATATGATGTCATGTGGGGCCATCTATTGATTTTGGAGGACTTGAGGTTACATGCCCAAAACGTTTTAAAACCGAGGTCAGTTTTGTGTTCTACTCATACATACATGGTGGCGTATACCGTGGGTGGTTGATGTAGTAGGCGATCCAGGAGGTGAATCCCCAGTAAAAGGCACAACCCTGGAACAGACAAAAAAAAAAAAAAGATAATCTTTTTGAAAGGGCAATAAGCAAGTACAAACTGTAACTTTATAAACATAAGTTCTGGTAAGTGCAAAACCCAGATGGCCATTGCGAGACTTTGCAGTGGCTTTGTGAGTCTCAGAATATATATCTTTTTTTAAGATACTGTGAAGCTAGGGAAAAAAAAAAAAGAAAAAGACACAGAATAGTGGGTTTTTTTATTATTCTTATTGTGTTAAATGTGTTTTATGTCCATTGTAGGAATTGGGATTTGTTTTCTCATTCTTTGGTTCTACTACTGAAGAGCACATTTCTCTAAGTTGTACTATTAAAAGTCTGGGGCTGGTTAACACAGCTGAGCTGTTACTGTACCTTAAATTCAGCATTCCCAAGAAAGATAGAGCTAGAAAAACAGAATGCTAAACCAGACAAAACAATAAGGAGTAAAAGTGAACAGGCCTGGTTTAACCCTGTCAAAAATAAAGGAACACACTTCCTTTAAACATATTTGGCCTACACACTATTTCTACTCCCATAAATTCCACCCCATTTTATCATCTTGATAAAAAGCAGCACCCCAACTGCCTTTGCTTGGTGATTGAAGCCATGGGCTTAGTAAAACCCAAGCAGAGATAATGTGATTATGTTCTTGACCTGTGTAGGAGTCACTGTTCCCATCCTTTCTACAAGAGTGAAATAAAATCCACCAGTCAAACAACCAGAACTGCTCTGGAGTCTGGATAAAAGTTTTCTATGTGCCTAAGTTAAGCATCCCATCCATGCTCAGTAGCTGTTGAGGAAGAGCAGTGTGTTGCCACTGGATGCAGTTCCATGCCATAAGTAGGGCTGCAAGTCAGGCTTTCTCTTTTTAATCTTTTTATGCAGTGTCACTGTGGTACACAAGGGGATAACAGTAACTGTGGGTCTTTAACTCCCACGTGCATGAGTCACTTTGGAAATGGCACTCTGGTTCCACAGCCATTTAGCTTATTTAGCTTATACATCCCTGTCTGTGCATCTCATCAGCTCCTCTCTGACTGGAATTGAGTCAAGCCCCCTATCATGGCCATATGTTTATTATTTCCTTTACTAAAACCCTAAATGTATTCAAAACATTTAAAGGGAAGGTCTTTAAGTCACACTGAAAAGGTGGGGGCATGATACAAAGTGACCTAGATAGAGTGTGTGAAATAAAAGAAAGGAAAGCCTATGAGTAATGACACACAGCTGACATTCAGGAGGCTTTGGGAGACAGAAGACTAGGCCAGCTCAGTATTGTCCTGCCTGAGGCCTCCATCTATAGGAGGAGAATTTTTTTTCTACTTGTAATTTGATTTTTGCTTCCTGATGCAAGGCCTGTCTCTCCCTCTGTATTTATGTTGCACAGAGGTAGTATTGTGTGATTTCTGTCAACACTGCTAGGTGTTACAGCAGCAGGTCTCATAATAACATAGGATTCAGTCTGAAAAATATCACGGACATGACAATCAGCCCCTTAGGTGAATGAGTCAAAGTGGGCATTGACATGCAGGAACTAAAGTGGATGTTAATTTTAATTCATGTCCTTGGGGACACGGCCCTGAAATTTTCCTGTGTCTGTATCTTGAGTAAACATAGTTCTTGGAGCTACAAAATAATTTAATTTTTATTTCTTTATCTCCTCCAAGGACTCTTTGATATGAGGATATTCTGTCTTACACAAAATGATAAACATATTGGTACCTTTATCATATTTTTCAGAGGAGTGTGCCCTTCCGAAAACTTGTGAACAAATAATGTCTCCAGAAGATGTCTGATGTAGTGTAAACAGTGACAGAAGCAGGCCAAGCTGGAAGAAAAAAAAAAAAAAAAGAAAGAAAAGAAATTAGGGTAAGTGAAAGATTGCTTTTTATTACTTCACAGTTAATGTCATGAAAGGAATAAGAACTAATATTCCAAAACTACGGTCACATTGAAATACTGGGATTTAAGTTATTGTCTTAATTGAAGCATCTGGAACCAAAGATTAATGGAATAATTTTCAGTTTTATATGAAGTTGCTTGCATTTTGCAGGGAAACAACTTATTTTTTACTGGCCTTGGATTAGAAAGAGCTCCTTGAGCTCTGAATGTGATACATAGCCCTGACAAGACATTTAGACAGGACAGCTGTGTATACAACCAGGCGTCTGACGTGCTTTTTGAAAAGAAGCCTCCCACGTTTTAAGGCCACCTTAATGCTCCTGTAGGATGTGCCTGACATTTAAAAACATATTGAATATCCTCTGAATGGTTTCCTTGTCCTTTGCCAACTCAAGTAGCAACATGGAGGTAGTTTGTATTTCATTTCCTTGTGGACTCAAAATGGGATTTTTTTGCAAAGTTAATCCATTCTGATGGCTTTTTTGTTGCCTGTTATAAAGAAATTAGGTAACTGTGGTAGAAATTATTATACTGATTCTCTTTTGAGGACAATTATGAAACAATAACAAGCATTGCTGATTTGCTTCCGAGAATGAGTTGCAGCTCATGATGATTGAGTTTCTGAAACAAATGTCAAGAGTGATTCCTGATGGCATTTTATCTTGGTTACATTTACTGCGCTACCGTAGCCCATCTTTCTGCAAACCAATTATAAGACATAAATGAAAAGTAGTTTTCAGCATGTAAAATCTCAAATACTTTTATTATGCATCTTGTATGGTAGCCAGAGTCAAAGATTAAACAATTTCAAAGTGATTAAACCAGAGAGAGTTGAGCTAAAAATTTTTCAAACAATTAATGACTTATCCAAAGCCTGAAGCAAACTTTCAGCTTTGCTGGGAATTTTAAAATGAGTTTGACTTAGGATAGGGACCTCAGATGAACCCATTAAGGAGTGGCCACTGGAAGGATTTTGTACACTCCTTACCACATAAAAGAAGGTAAAGGTGTTGCTGGCTCTTCTGTGCTCTCCTTTTAAGCACATGAGCAAGAAGACAAACATCTTGCAGCTCTGGATTTGAATTCAGTTATTCTCTGTTCTAATTCCCAGCTCCACTAACTCCCTTAATGTCTCTCCAAGTGTCTGTTCCTCCATCTGTAAAAGGTATTATTACTCACTGTGTTTCTCTGCTGTATACAAGTTCTCTTGATTCTGCAATCATAGTGTGGAAAAAGTGCTGTGGGAAAGCTGTACAGTCCTTCGGGCTTCCTAGTTCCCTGTGTGCCCTCCAACGAGTGGTCCAACTTACAGAGATGACAGGCTTTTCTTGATCACATTTTACCCCTCTGCCAGGCACTAACCACCTAGGATGGGAACAATCACACTGAAGGGAAGTTCCTTAAGTGTGAAAGTTCCCAGCCTTCCTGGTGCATTATACTACCATCTCATGGAGATACACCTTTAGAATTTTTTGACCTGACTCATGACATGCATACCAGTTGAGTTTCCCCCTTCTTGTGCCTGGGTGAGCACTGGTGTGGGCGTAGTTATCCTCCGTGCTGGATGCTATAAAGAGACTGGGAATGGGACACCTGAAGTCTTGCCCTCTCTTCTCTGTCAAGATTGACCTTGGGTTACTGCCCACTGTTTTTATTATTTCACCCTCTGTTCAGGCTTTTTGTCTAGAGTGCAAACTGTGTGGAGAAAATACTGCGTGGTGTGGTGACCATTTGGTGACCATGGTGACCATTGCAACTGGGATCCCATTTTTGGCCAGGCTTATGAGTTCTGCTAAAATGCCAAACTGGCACTGGTTTGAAACTGAAACCGAAACCAGGCATGAAGCCTCATACCCTGTATAACCTTCTCAGCTCTGGAAGTGCAATCTCCATCCCTCTGGCTCCTCATGCTCCAGGAAAGTTGTTCACACAAGTGTCACTTACTGAACCACTGGGTGGCGGAAGTTCTTCCTGCTTTCCACTTGATCATAAATAGTTGAGAGGCGAATATAAAAGAGCAAATATATTAGAAGAGGTCCGGTGTATTCTGTTAGAAAAAACTAGAAATGAAAAATAAAATAGCTGTATCAGAGTAGAAAATTGTACCAGTAAAGGTCTGAGAAAAAGAATACCCCTATCCACAACCCTATTCATCCTTCAAATGGCATTTTGGCTTAATCTTGAGGACTTAAATGACACGCTGAGTTTTTTTCTGCTGTCTCTTTAGCAAAGGAGTAAAATCCATCCAGGAAATGAGAGAGAGGTTTCTGTGTAGAAAATTAACCCAGTCAGGAATGCTTCATGGAAGGTGGTCAAAATCATATTTATCTATCTCCTCTTTATACTTTTGGCTGTGACATCAAAAGCCCATTTGGAATCAAAATAGCACTGAAAACCAAGGCCCAAAAGCTGAAGGCAGCTTGCTTTTTTGCCAGAGATTTTTGCAATTAAGTGATAAGTCAGTTAAAAGCCAACCAAGCATGACAGAAACAAACATAGCCTCGACTCCTGGTTGCTAGCAGAGTCATCTGGAAGGGAGGGATCATTGCTTGAAATTTGGTGGTGGGTGGAAGAGCAGAACCAGCCTGCCTGGTGCATGGTGCTTTGAGTCTTTGTTCAGTGACTGAGTGGTACTCTGCCTGGGCAGACTTGACAAGTAAATTACCCTGTTGTGATCAAAGCAGGAAAAAATAATTTCATCTTCCACTGTCACCCCTGCTAGACACAGAATGCTGAGAGGAGGGGCAGGAAGAGAAGGCAGAATCACAGAGCTTCCATGAGCCTCCTTCAGTTTTAAGTCCTGGCTTTGGTTTGGTACAGTCTATATTGCCTTTTATTGGGTAACACTCCTAAGCCACAAGCAGCTGGAGGAAGTAAAACAAGGTTAGAGTGATGTGAAGTCCAGATTTGATCCTCTGTCCCCACTGGAATTGATCTCAGAATGAAACAGAAGCAGTATAGTCCTATACGTTTACAAGGACTGGCAAGTCATAACTCAAGTGCATAGCATTGCTTAAGGGGTAAAGTTTTACAATTAATTGGCCATTTCGCTTTAAAGTGGCTATTCACACTGCTGTGGAATTGTAATTAATAAATACCCATGGCTTAAGCAAGCAACACTGAATTTAGACTACCTGTCTTAAAATTAGTATTTGGCCCCCTAGGAGGCTGTTCTTCTAATCGCTCTTCAGAAGAGCATTGATGGAGAAAGGTTTTCCTGCAGAAATATCCTGCAATTAGGTTCCCTTCATTTGGGACCCCCAGTACTATTTCTTTTCTTCTATTAAAGGGAGAAACTTTTTGAAATTTTAGCCTTTCATAGCAGGACTGTCTCCAAAAGGAACTGACTGAATTGTTATCTACCAAAATTTTCTTTTGTTCCATGTGACACCATGACTTCTGTGCTCCATATAGACTCTGCATGATCCCCAGAGCAGGTATGTGTGTAAAAATATTTAATCTAGGAGAGTCTAAGAGCACATTGTTGTGGAATACCCCACAACCAAGGGCTTATGTTTTGTTGTAATAGCAGTTGTATGGGTCTGTTCCTAACTGTGAACTCACTGTGTTAGGCACTCTGCAAACACTGTAAGAGATGACCTCCACTTTTAAAACATGATACACTAAATATAGACAGTAGTGGTATAGAGGACAGAGGTGCGGAAAATATGGACTGGGCAGGTCAGTATAAGAGCTTGGAATGAGCCACTTTCTTCAGTGCAGCCATGAGTTGCACCACAAAATACATCCATAACTGCCAGCTTTTATCATCTGCTTGGCACAAGCATTTTACAAAGCTGCCAGGAAGAGTTTAGCAGGACTTAGTGCCAAGTTGTGCTTATTTGTCACGGCACCAAGTGTTCACCCCTGCCCCCTGGCTGATTTCAGATGCTGAAAGAAGGAAACCTTCAAAATCCAGTCTCTATTTAACAGCCCAAGTTACCAGCCGCATAATACCTGAATCCCTGTGATGAAGTTTGTTGTAGGAGGGGGGGAATGCAGGGCGTCTCATCAGAGCAATTCAGAGAAGCAGCTCTTGAGTTAGGGTTTGTGGAGGTGGGCAGCACCAGCATCACAGCCTGTTATGGCTGGGGACAGGGTTCAGTCTTGTCTGTGTGTCAGTCACATTTGACACAAAGTGTTAATGTGGAGGAAGGTGGTCCAGGGTCAATCATGAGCTTAGCAATCAGAGTAGGTACTGTCTGGCAGGTAGGACTATCATAACCATGCCACACTGCTGGAACAGAGTTGAGATCGGTAACATTCTGTTCTAGAGGATAAGGTTCAATTTTTGTAGTGTTTTTTTGTTGTATTTTATTTTGATTGAGTTTCAAACTATTTCCTTCTGTTGCATCTTCCATGCTGCAACCACTGCTCTTGTTCTCTGGCCCACTGATTTTAAATTCCTCAGAAATTAAAAATGAGTTCCAGAAAGTTCAAGCAGGTGAAAGGGAAAACAGTCTTAAATTAACACAACATTACAATAATTTCAACCCACTGGCAATCAAGGGCAAGCACCATCATTTGAACTATTGATTCTCAATGAGTGTATTCAATTAAGCCTACCTAATATCTTGATACTCATCCTATAGATGACTAATTGCTGGACTTGGGCAGTTATTAGTTGTGTCAAGGATTAGTTCAACCTATCACTTTTATAGGTGCTCAAAAATACTAATTCCTGCTGACATATCCTGCAAAAATAATAGTCACATTTTAAACAAAAGTGTGAAAATAATGACATTGTAGCTTGTTTCTGAACAAAAGAAATACCATTTAATTTTAAAAAGTGATCATTTAAAACACAGAGCAGTTTTATTCCATAGAAACATAAAAAAAAAAAAAAATTTTTTTTCTTTACCATCTTGTGGTCCTGCCTAGATTATTTTGATGTATTTGGTGCAACCAAATATGGTAGTCCATAATAACAACAAAGATCTTTTCCTGGAGGAGCATTATGTCTCTCTAACAGTGAGCACAGGTCAATAGAATTTAGCTGTTGGGCTCATCATTAACTCTCTGAAGAGAGAAAAGAGGAGATTGCTTCTTTTTTCCTCATCTGCACACTTTATTTCATAGCATGCAGAGTGTCCAGTTCTCTTACCTTCCTTCTCTCCTCTCCACTGTCTGGCATTATATACTCTATATACCTCTCATTCTCAGTAGCATAGAGAAAGTGTTCCTGAATCAAAGTATTCTTGACTCAAAGCTCTCACAGGCATGGGCTCCATACAGGGTGTTAAACTCAAGGTTCTTTAACTTTCTCAATTATCAATCAGGTCTGTGGGGATCTGATTCAGTAACAAACAAATTGGAAATATGTACTACATAAACAGGAAAACAGATCTGAAACATGTCAAAAGAGGGCAAAGATAGGATTTTCCATCATTGAAGAGAAGATGGGGCAAATTGTAAAACAATGCACAACAGCTAATCTGCAAACCAGCAAGGCATCTCATCTTACATGAGCCAGATTTTACCTGCTCCTTTCATCTCTGTTCAGCTGATCGTGCCAGTAACACCTTGCTGAACTGAGTTACACCAGGTCAGGAATTCAAATCCCAGACCTTATAGGGCAGAGTGTTTATATAGGGAGGCATGAGTGGAGCAGAAGTGAAAAGAGTTTTTCAAAGTTATTTGAGGGAAGGTGAGGTGCATTTTCTGGCTGGTAGGGACAGCTGACAGTACCCCAACAGGTCTACTAAAGGGAATGGAAAGGATTTCGATTTTTTGCAACCTGTACCGTGTGTACAGGTTGCAAAAAGGCAGAAAAGGAAAAAAGGAAGCTATAAACAAAAGCGGTGGAGAGGAGGGAATCTGAAAAAATTCCAACAGAATCTTCATAAATGAACAGCCCACATATTTGTATCTTCACATGAGGGCATCAGCAAATTCCTCTCTGTAATGTTTATGACATACCCTTTCTGTAATATCACACAACACACCCTATCTTGTCGCCTCCTGGCATGGTCTCACATTATCTCATTTATGACAAGCAGCAGAGATGAGGAAAGGCCATACAGCCTCTTCCATACTGATGCCTTACTGCAGCTCGTTCCATGCCATGTAGGGGCAGTTTCCTAGCTCATTGGTGTTTTCTCTTCCACTGTCCACGGGATGTCTGGGTTCAAGCAGGGAAGCAGAGAGTGCGGGATGAGGATAATACCTGCAGCCAGGATAATGACTTTGGGTCAGTGTCTGTAGCTCTCAGCATAGCAAGAGATACAAAACAGCTCAAGCGTGTCCTGGGTAACTCTGATGGGAAAGCAGCTGCAGTGTATAAATTATCTAATGGACAGGGCTTACTTTCTCTGATAAATGTGAGGCAAAGGCTCTAGCTGCAGGTCTGAGCCAAGGTCAGACTGAAGTGGTACATACAGCACAAAGAGGAGGATCTACTGATATCAGACAGACAGACCATTACTACGTGTGAGTGTACAGGGCCCAGCTTCTGAGAAACCCAAGAGATCAGGCAGTTGAATCCCTCCAAGTCCCCAGATCACATTAAACTTAGCATCTAACTACCTCAGACTCCTTTTACAATCCCAGCCCTAAGTACTCTTGAGCTAATGATCATTAAGAAACATTATTAATTTCTAGACTAATTTCTGCTTCATACACTTTGTTACCTCATTAAAGGCCATACAGTTACCTGGGGATGATAATGGTGTAATTTTAGCACTATCTCTAAATCTCCACCTTTGTAAAAGTTTCATATTTTATTGCTTGCAAAAATCCACAGCAACAGCAATTTTGCATCAGGTAATACAATTCTTAAGGGCTGCTTGAATATTCAGTGACTTTTTGTTCCAGTTCTCATGTAATCCATTCTGCAAAATTTAAATAGTGCATGCAAGGGCACCTGAAACTTCCCTTCTCTGGGCAGACTTTGCAGTGACTCGGTGTCTATGAGTATTTCAGGCTGCAGCTCAATATTTAATGTAAATGCCAGAAATAAGGATGGATTTGCTGTAGGATTTTATAGGTAAATTGCAGCTGATTCAGGACAGCATCAGGAGCTGGGGAGTGAACAGAGATGGACCCTGTTTGTCCCTGAGTC